GCCGCTCGCCGCTGTGCGTGCGCTTGTGCGACTTGAGATGGCTCGCCTGAGTGGTCCTGAAGTCACACCCGGGCTCGTCGCACGGATACAGCCGCTCGCCGCTGTGCGTACGCTTGTGCCTCTTGAGGTTGCTCGCGGTAGTGGCCCGGTATATGCAGCCGGGCTCGTTGCACGGGAAGCCGCGCTCGGGCTCGGCGCTCGGCTGCGACGCGTCGTCGTCCGAGTCGTCGTCGCTCGCGCCGCCGACGAGCGAGCAGTACTCGGCGGCCCCAGGCGCGTGCGTGCACCCCCCCTGGCGCGTGCACCTCGGCGGCTCGCTACCTCCCGCGCTGACGCACCACCCGGTGACGTCGGTGGGAACCGCGCGCGCGGCTCCCGCGACCGGCGGACACGATGGCGCCCCGGCCGGATTGAAATTCCTTACTGTACGCCAGCTCTTCGTGACAGCCGTGAAAGCAACCTGCGCCACTCGAGACGCTCCGCAGCGCACGGTGGGCAGCTACCAACGCGCGCTGTTCTGCTTGCTGATGGCTGCTTCCCCCAAGGCGTTCGTCACCGCGCGCAAGGCGTTCGCCTTGGACGACGATGTGGCCGGGCGTGGTGTCGTCTACCTGGCCGCGGCCTCGCGTACGCCGATGCTCCGGAAAGTCTACGACGTTGGCGTAGAGGCGGTGGGCCGCAAGCTGCTGCCGTGGCGCATCGATGAGGAGGGCGGTGCGGCCGCGGAGGCGGTGCGCGACCGCTTTGCGAAACTGATCGGCGCACGCAGCGGCGAGGAGGTGTAAAATTAGAATGACGTGCGCTGTGTGCGCAGCTCGCCGAACCAGCCCCTTTTCACGGGGGCGGCTGCTATCTCCTTCCCCCGGCCACGATTCCCATAGCCGGCCGGACAGGGTGACTCAATAATCCTCCTCTTAACTGAATAAAATAAGGTGGCGCTGACCCCGTCGTGCTCATACGCAGTCTCGCTCGCCGCTGCCAACCTGCGCGCGGTCGGGCGCGTCCCGGCTGGCGCGGAGGTGCGTCCCTAGTGTCCTGCTCCCGCGTGTGCACCTGCCTGCCTTCCACCGCTCGAACAGCTAGTCATGCGGGCGCAGCCGGCAAGGGGAGTAGGGTAATCGAGCGGTCAACTAATTTTTGTCAGTAATGGCCCTACAGCTGAATGGATGCAGCTGGAGGTACCTGCTGGCACAGTGAGTTCACTCTCCGGAGTGACGTCGTTATGAACCGAAGACAATGAGGGGTCTCGAGCAGAATAAATTATATAAACTACTGCCGTTGACCTGTCAGTCACACGTTACTGTGTAAATATCTAGATTAACGTCCGTCCCCTGACCCACCAGCTCACCAAGCATTGAGAAAACACTCGGGCTGAGGGTAGCAGAGCACACGGATACCGTCTCCATCGCTGAATATCCCCCTGTTGACCCCGCAGGCTCTCTGAGTAACCAGGCTCAGGGGGCGGTATCTGTGTGCTCGGGGAGTGGTCCTGGATTCACGTCCGGGAGACCGTCTTCCGGGGTCAGACGTCCTAATCAGAAGTCCTTTCCTTTTATTGTCAGTCAGAGAGTCGTCGATTGTCGTGTGTCTGATCAGCCCCAGTGGTGGGGACGGTATCCGTGTGCTCTGCTAAGGTCCCTTGATCCGAGTGTTTCTCAACGCTTAGGTCCGGTGGAGACCTGTCAGGGGACGGACGTATTTCTAGACATTTACACACTGCATTGTACGTGGGATCCTGTACTCGCTCAACTGTCGGCGAGCGCTTCAGATGCTTGTCTCGCCTCAACCGTCGGAGTACAGGCGCCATGCCCCTACGCCCCCGACAGGGGCTGCAAGTGGGGAGGCGTTAAAAGAACTAAAAAGAAAAAGAAGCATCCCACTCTTTTGTGCACGAAGTCCACTGCTACCCCCCTCCCTCCACACACACATCACCCTTCGAGCTGCCCCCCCCACCCCCCTTCCCACTCTTCTGTGCACACTGCATCCCACTCTTGTCACGCTTCCGTACACTGTTGACTGCAAAAGAAAAGAATTTTTGGTTAGGACGTCTGTCCCCGGAAGACGGTCTC